AGAAGACTTAGTGATCTTGGGGTGCCCCAACTAGACTCTAGTTCAGTGAAAAATACGGTATTTTTACTAAAGAAAATGCGCATATGAAACTGGTGGGTTCGGTACCTCACAAAAGGTTAAGAACCACTTGTCTAGAGATTCTGTGTAAATGATGTGACTGACCAGAGGAAAAACAGTGCAAACAAATAGAGCATGTCTTTAAAATGAGTCTGTAAGTCTCTATACTGCATCAGAATCCATCAGTTTATATTTAAACAAAAATAGGTTTGAGCATAAAACACTTAAATTAGCAGTGCTACGTTAGCTTAGCCGCCTGGCTTTTTCTTATTACACAATTAGTTGTGATAGTAGATTTTATGTGAGCAGCAGAATAGAATAATACACTATAGAATATTTTTTCTGCACCTTTACACACCACAGTGTTCAGATTTTAATTGGTAAGAGATTGTAATCATTATATGCTACCTAAGTTGATACATCACACAATTACAATGAAATATCTACAAATTGGTAAAAGTTCAAGGGTCTGAATACATTTGCCAGAAACTGTAAATGTGACAGTTTTCAGACTTTTCTCCTTCACCCACCTGTCGATGAATAAAAACGACGGATCCCAGCAGCCTCCACGTCCCTCCTTGTCGATCCACATGCAGCATGCGCAGGATCTGCAGGAAGCGGATGCCCCTGGAACAACACAGGGCCACCTTGTCGGTCACATTCATCCGAGTCCGCGTCACTCGGTGAATCAGCTTCTAAAAACCGTTACGGTACCTGATGGCGGACGTGGCGAACACCTGCCCGTTTGACCCCACGCCGAGCACGATGATGGAGGCAATCACAACTATTAAATCTGTGAGAAAGAAACGGGAAAACAAGCAAAAATTCAACTTTGAGATTTAATAAAATGGCGAGAGGCACAAAAAAATTAAATTAGCACTGGAATCATCCAATAGGTGATTTACGTATAAAAACCACTTTTCATTGCGACTTAATGAGAACAAAAGAGAAAGGCCAGGTGCACCTATGATTGATATGGGCTTCCTGACAAAGCGGAGGCGTCCCTTGATGCCCGCATATTTGCTGCGGCAGCCGGCCGACCACAACCGGACCACATACTCGGTGCCAAAGAACAAAACCAGCACGATCTCCTGTGGAGCACAATGCAGAAAGGGTTACCTCAATCCACAGGCTCAGAGACAAAACAGCAAAACGTACACAAAGGACGATGGGATGCAGACGCAGACGGCACGTCTGTCCTGAAAACGGCAATAACGGCGCCAAGCATTGACGCTAATTTAAAGCTACTATTATTATTATCACCAAGATTTACAATGAGATATGAAGGGAGCAGCGACAGGTGTGTGAAGAAGAAGAAGAAGAAGAAGGTGTTTATATAGGATTTAACTGACAAAAGAAGTGAATACGATGCAAAAACACCAAAATCTTACCCAGTATTTTTGTGCAGTCTGTTGTCTTAGTATTACACTGCCAAAACACAAGATTTTACTAAGTGTTTCTGGTCTAGTTTCTAGTGCAAATATCTCAGGAAACTTGAAATACGACAAAAATAGCTTCAAAGTAACTTTGAGATGCTTGTTTTAAGTAAATAATTCCTTAATATTGATGAAAATGCACCAGTTCCGCTGGCAGATTATTTCACTTATAACAAGACATTTTCCACCATGTTATAAAATAATTTATCTGCCAGCAGAATGAGTTCTTTTTCGACAATATTAAGGAATTCTTAAAATAATCATCTATATCTTGCTGGAAAGTTACTTTTGAGATAGTTTTGCCTTATTTCAAGAGTACTAAGATATTTGCACTGGAAAATAAACCAAAAATACTTAAGATTTTATGTTTTTGCAGTGTGCACTTGAACTAAGTCAAAACTAATCTATAGGAAACGTTTCAGCAAGATATAGAAGCTAGTTTTAAGTTAATTCATTAATACTGATGGGAATAGTACTGCAGTAGTTATAAGTGAAATAATCTGACACTAGATTAGTCAAAATATTGACTTTTTAAAAATCAGTATTAGCTCTGATTTCTTGCTGAAGTTACTTGTAAGTTAGTTTCGTCTTTTGTCAAGTGTGCCAAGATATTTGCACTAGAAACTAGACCAAAAATAGTCTGTAAGATTTTGTGTTTGTACTTACTATTGGGCTGATCTTTTAACATTATTGGAGGGTTTCTGACTTAAATAACAGTATCTGGTGGAGATCGTTTTCCTAGACACTGTCTTTCCATAATATTTAGCCGCCATAGTGCCTGCTGGAGCCATTGGCCACGTGGGTGGCCTCCTTATTGACTGCACTTGCCTGGGCTGCCCGCTCCCTGACCACCCCTCGTATGAAATGTAATACCGACAGCCCTGCTGCAATAACACAGCGGCACCGGGCTGCAAAACAATGGCCTGTCCATCAAAAGTCTTCCTCTTGGAGGAGAAGTCTTACGTTTCGGTCGGGGAACAAAAGATTCCTGGTTGGCCTAACCTTGCTAAAGTATTGATGCAACTCTGCAATGTGATAATTAATGGTTGTCAAACTTTTTTCTACAAATATAAATCTGAGAACTGTTTATGTTATCCTGTGGTGGACTGTATATACACATAGAATATAAAGATTTAAGACCTGTGATTAACAAATTAAAGACCAACTTACTTTTTTTTATGAATTTAAGACTTTTTAAGGATGTGTGGTCTCATCTGATCAGATTAACGTCTTCCACATTCGTGCTGTTTTCCTCTCAGAAAACAGATTTTCTTGCTTGTTACGTCAGTTTAGGTGAAAGGCAGTGCCTTAACAGGTTTAAAGTTTGGAGGTTATCGCTTACAAATCTACGCTCTTCAAAATTATCTAATGTACCAATTGGGTTACGTCTCGAGAAAATAAGGTGTAGTAGATTTTACTTAGCAATGTTAATGTAAAGGGGGTTGAACGTAAATGCAAAGTCACCAATTTTTTTAGCTTTATTTGCAAAAAGTTTGAAAACAATGCCTCATTCACCTCCCATTTTACAATCATCCACTACTTTTGTTTTCACATTAAATTCTAGAAAAAAAAACAGTATGTTGAAACCTGTGATTGTAATGTGATAAATTATCAAAATGGGGTGTGAATTCAAAGTAATCTTCAACAGTATATTAATTTTTGATAACGATGCGCTCCCTATTGGTGATAAAGTAGGATAGCTTCATCGTGAGACAGTAGCTAAAGCACAACCCCACACACTCAAATACACACACACTAAAAAAACAATAAAAATAAAATAAAAACACAAACCTATTCAGCTTTATGACAGATGGATGAAATCCAAAAGTCAAAAGGTACACATGAATTTGGGAAATTTGAAGAGATTAGTCATAATAATTCCATAAAATGGGTCACCCAGATGTTGGGGGGGTTGTAGCTGAAACCGGCAACTATGTTTACTGGAAACAGCTGCCTGATTGTGAGACCGTAATCTCATCAAGCCAGGACGGAGGACGAAGCACATCAGAAGAGCATCATGTGAAAATGTGATTAGACTGCATAGTGTCTCACTGGAGAGAGGAGAAAACACACACGAAAACACGCACACACACGCATGCACACACATTGCACACAGAAAGCCACCTGGGCTGCACGATGACGCCGTGCGTTTCCTAAAAGGTAATAAACTTCAGCGTGATCAGCTTCCTGTTAATGCTTCCAAACCTAATGAGGATTTATCTAAATCATTTAAATGCCACACTGTTTAAAAACAGATTTACTTTGAAAATTTTCTCTTATTTTACTAGGAAATAATTTGACCTGAATGATTAGGCTGACAAGTTTTTCTATCTGAATTTCAACGTTCCCGTTAGGTCAGCTTTAAATGGTTTTGAACAGTTTTGTTCATTATGACACATTAACAATGAGCATTATTTTACTGAAAAACAAAAAATAAAATATTAGACTCATAAAATCATGTCTGAGTTTCTGCAGCTGGTGTCTCTAGTAAAGACTAAAGCCTTAAAATAATTTGTATCACAGCAGAAAAATTTCACACTTGAGCAAAATCATAAAATAATGGGAAAAAACATCAAGAAATGATGGATTTCCCCCCCCCCAAAACTAAACAAATTTAAAAAAAATATATATATATTTTATTTTGCAATTCTTCAGTAAAAACAGCTCCCCTGTGTCGACTGGACAACCCTCAATCTTCCCTATTACGTTTCACAATGATAGCCGACATTTTGGACCAATTTCCTGCTGAAAACGGAGTAATGGCCCACATTTAGCTTTCTGTTGAGACTTTTATTTTCATTTCAGATTTCAAAGAACTTATGACAAAAAGCATTGCACCAAAGTACAAGGGGCTTTTGAGAAAACGAAATAAATCAAACTCGACAGGAGCCATAAGTCGATGTTAAGCATGTCACTTTGTTTTTAAGCCAAACCAACATGACTGTTTGCTGCATAACCTGAATCTCATCTGACCAAACAGTTCAGTAGGCCTACATTAGACAGCATACAGCACACAATTAAATTTTTTTAATGGTAATGCAGAGAGAGAAGATTTTCCTCAGGCATGCTTTCATTAGATTTTTAGACTTATTGATCTCAAGATGCCTCTCTTTGCTGCAATTCTTCAACCATGAGCTTTGGAGATTTAGTTTACCTTTGTTACCATCCTGTTCACTCGGCATAAATATAGCAAGACCAATATGGTTCTTCTTCAGCTTATTGGCCACTGACTAAGAAAAATAGAAATCTGCAAGATGTCACGTTTAAAACACGCGGAAAACAGGAAGATTTTCAGCAAAAGGTCCTGTCAAAATAAATAAAAGCACATATGAATTTAAAGCATGCATGAATGCATTATTCAGGGCACCAATCATTGTGATTTTAATACAAAATAATTACTTTTTAACATGTATAAATAACGGTAATCAACTGGAATTAGTTTTGAATACCAAAAAATATATATTATTATATTTATAAAGACCATTAAGGCAAATGGCGGGGCTGAACGAAGTGCTGCACCATACAAATCTAATTTAAATTTAATTTAAAGATAGATACATGTCAGAGAACAAAAAGGTAAAAAATTGTGCAAATAAATAATAATAAAAAAAAAAAACAAAAAAAAATGTTAGCAAAAATTTAACTGCAAAATTTAGCTTCAGCAATAAAAGTTACATTTATCTTTTTAGATTTTTCACAAATCTCAACTTTAGTCAGCTTAAAATTAAAAATCTACTTACTTTTAATTATTTTTAACATATATGTGTGAATTTGACCTAAAGACATAGTCTTTACTCCTTTTTAAAACACCACTAATCCCTCTAAAAACCACTCACTTCTCGTCTTGCCGAAGGTTTACAACAATATGTGGCAACATAATCTAATTACCAGCATTTATGCTTATTTAAGCTGCTATTTCAAACAAAGTGAAAAGGTTGCAAAAGTCAGCAGAACCTGAACCCGTGTATTTTATTTTATTTTTTTTTATTTTATTTTTTTAACAAATATAAGTGCAGAAGAGAAAGGCAAACAAGATAATGCATTGGAAGTTTGTGTGACTGCGCGCGCGCGCGCGTTTGTGTGTGTGTGTGTGTGTGTGTGCGTGTGTGTGTGTGTGTGTGTGGGTGTTGCGCTGCCCAGCCTGACTTGCTTGACTTTGGCAGCTGCCCCGAAGGCCAAATATCCTCAAGGACTAATGTCCTCTGTGCCGTCCAAAACAAGCAGCCTGTGATTCAGCGATGTGAGCTGACCCTGAACTTTCTAAGTTTAGTTACTACCACCAGCGTTCTCCATCAGGACACACCAGCCCCTAAAAACATACCGACACAAACTGCACAGAGTAATAAAAGACAAAAATTGAAAAAGCAGATAATATCTTATTTTACCACTGATATTAAACCTATTCCAATTATTTACAATCCTGCAAACATAAACATGCAGTCAGGTGTGCAAACTTTGCATTCATCGGGCGATCTTTCTGCAGAAAAAGTTCAAACCTGACAGTTTAGGGGAGACCAAATCAAACAAGAAAAAAAAAAAGAAATAAAGAAAAGTGTGATAGTAGGTCATTAAAGTGCACTGACCAAAAGTTTACAGAACACGGTGTCCTCTCTGGGCTCTGGCTGGAGGTACTACGTGTGTGTTTGTGCAGCTTTTGTATGCGTGTGCGCACTGTGTGCATGCATTCAGGAGCTACGTGTGTATTTATATATTCCCTCTGTGCTGGCAGGAGACGGATGATGCAAGCTCTTTGTAGGGTTTCCAAACAGCGGCCATAATTTCTCTCAACCTGTTGTAAGGCCTCGATTTATTGCATCACTTAGCGGGCCTTAATAGACAAATAAGCCACAAAGAAGTCAATCTAACCCAGCGAGTATCAGCAGGCGCAGTCTGTGCGGAGCCAAGTGGTTCTATATGAGTGTGACCATGAAAGCCTTAAAAGACATGCAACTATTAAGAGCTTTGGGTAAGTGCAGTGTAAGCAGTGTGTGTCAGATTGTTTGTGTTAGCTAAAAGTCATTAGTCTCCTAAGTTTAGTAATATCTTTAGAAGGATCAAGATGGCCGGCAGGGTCAATCTTCTCAAACTAAAATCTTACATCTCCATCCTGTGGCGAAAAATGGGTACTGCATGGCAAGCTCCTATTTCTGTTGCCCCCTGACTTGTTTTAAAATTCGTTGCACAGCAAATATACTGTTCACCAATACAACTACTATTGACTCAGTTTATATACGTAAGTGAACAGAAACTTAGACTGAGTTTTATTTAGTTTGTGGCTCAAATCTTCTGTTTTGAGCCTTGGTGAAACCAGCACAGAGTATGTTCAGCTTCTTTTCAGATGTTAAAATGTCATTTAGTGAATTAGATTAAAAGCAGTTACATTTTTCTAACCAAAACAGAAAACATATTAAAAGTATCATCAACTTAGAGTTAGGAACTTTTAGTAAAATTCACATATTCCAACTGGAGATGTCAGAGTTTTTTAATTAGCCAATTTGAATTTAGTTGAGCTGTTTTTCCGATTCATTGAATGGATCAAAACTAAGACCTCCACAAACTTAAGTCTATAAATGTTTTAACCATCACCCACTTTGCTATGATGGCGTATTAGGGCATTGTAGATAGAAAAAAAAAGTAGTAAATTTACACCAAAAAACTCTGAAATTTTTAGATTAATTTCAGAAATGTAGAAAAAAATCTGAAAAATTCTGAGCTTGAAAAGCAGAAAATTTCACATTTGTATCTATTTTTCATGTTTTTTGAATGTCTGTACAACAGAAGACTATTAATTTAGAGGGACAAAAGTAGAAATTATTTTTCTGAGTCTCACGAAGTCAAAAGCTTTTTCTACAAATTCTCTGAGATTAATCCCAAAATTTCTGAGTTTTCTTTATAGAAAATTTTTGACTTTTGAAACTCAGAAACTTCCAAAAAATTGTCTAGAAAATTTTTCAGATTAATTAAAACATTTCTGAGGTTTTGGCACAAATGTACCCCTTTTCCTCTGTCAGAATGACACAAGTAGGCCGTTATTACTTTGTTCCACTTTCCTCAGATTGATAAAAAAAATCTGATAAGGTCTGCAGGGCACCGTTTGTCACTTTGGGCAAATTTAAAGGAACAAACATATAAGATTATTCTTCCAATTCAAAGATACATTATTAATCCCATTAATAATTAAGAATTTCTTCAGAAGCAAATTAAGTGTTGCTTCTGAAGAAATCTAAGACCTAAAATGAACAGAAATTTCTCTTTGTGATTAACATGACATTATGAAATTACTTAAACTCCATGTGTTGTTCTAAATAAAGATCTATATAAAAAATACTCACCATCCAAAAGAGCGTTCCTGTAGCAAAGTCTGCATATTGTTCTATTGTGGACAGAACACTGAAGATAAGACACACCAAGACCATGAGGAAGCTGCAGGGAGACAGAGAAACCGATTATTACTCTGCACCAAAGTTTAAGATGCACAAAATGTTAACATTTCAGACTCAAAATCAGCTTTATTCACCAGCTTTGCACGCACAAACAGCAGGACTTCAGTTCCACTTTACTGTCCATGAAGACATTTTAAATATAAATGAACAAAAAGACTTGTTGGAAAATAAAAAGTTTTTTTGGGGGGGAGTTTGTAAATATTTGTGTATTTGAAGTTTTTAGTAAAGAGGAAGAGAAGGTGGAATTAGTGCAAATACTCATGGCAAATCTTCAGATTTGCCATGAGTATTTGCACCAGGATGTGTGTGGTCTGCAGACATGTTAGCTGCCTGGAGTTTAGCTTGTAAGGATAAGTATAACTTTTTTGGTGTGAATTCAGATTGAAGTTCATGATGCACCTTTGCAGAAACTAGCAACCAAATGTTAAAAAAAAAAAAAAAAAAAAAAAGGGAATCCAGATGGGATAATGTGAAAAACCAAAGAATGGAAACTGTCATACTGTTATAAACTCCTGGCAGTGTAAGGTATGAATTTAAGCAAAATGCCTCCAACCAAAAGACAGAATAAATCCTTCAGCAGTTGGAAGTTTGAGGTGCTTTGTCTCAGTTTCGCTTTGTTTTCACCGACCGGCCCGTATCATTAGCTGACAGGGTGTTTCCACATCTCCTAGCAACGGTGAAACATTCCGACGAGACGCTCCATCTGTCAGTGTACATACATCGTCTACAAATACGGCCTCCTGAGCTAAACATACACGGCCGGCTCACCTAACTGAGGATGGAAGAAGAAGAAGAGCATGCAAGAGGAAGGTGGAGAGGAGGAAGACCGGAGAAACTAGTTAAGGAAAACAGAAAGCAAAAAGCGGAATAAAGTCACGGCTGAAGGTTTTTTTGGTGAATGCATTCATTGCAGATTGTTGTGGAGAGTGATCACAACAGTGCATGTCAAGGTGTGCAGAATCTTGATTCACTAACTTCTTAAAAGTCTACTGATCTATTTAGCAGGATGATGGCACGTATGTCTGAAATCTATTCCTACAAGCAGTTATTTACTCCAAAGAAAATGTTTTCAGTCGTTTTTGTAATAAAAACAGCCTCCTTTACGAAAAATGTGCTGCTCACAATCTTCCAGCTAAAGCTGTGGTCACCGTTGCGTCTCGTCTTGACACGCATGTTTGTGCACCTGAAATTGTACGTAACGTGGGCCAAAATGTTACGCGGCTCATCGACTAAGCTTGAGTTCAGTCGATGAGCCACTTTCACTCTGTTTTTTATAGTGCGTGTTTATTGAGATGAAGGCCGTAACATTCTGTGCACTCTAGGGTGGAGAAAGTTAACGGCTAACACTTTCTATTTTTATTTGTTATTTTTGCTCACGCTTAATTGGCAGGCATTCACTACACAGTTAGTTACTTTGCAGGTGCAACATGAGGCGTTTGGATGAAAGCCTTCTGATTAGGATGGCTGGAAAGTCTGTTGAAAAATATCAAAAATTCCAAAAATAGTACAAAGATGATCAGCGGAAAACTGAGGCACAGTGATTTTCTTTGGAACTCTTATGTATGCAAAATAAAAGTGAAAAAAATGTGAATATTTTGAAATGGTTTGCTTTCAAAATGGCAAAAATTACAAATACAAATGGCAAAACTGTATCTGAAGTCATTTATCACCACATTTTAGAGAAAAGGACATAGCACAGGTGTGTTTTTAGGTTCCTACCTGCTATATTGCAACTCGTTGAACCGATTTCACGGTTTCCACAGAAGCTCTCGGCTGCCCGCGTTTCAACTTTCTTAACACAACTTTCTTGGCACAGCAAGGATTAACAGTAATCCCAGTTAGGAGCATTTTCACTACGCGAAGGGGGATAATCCTTGAAACCTTTTTTAAAAGCCTCTCACTAACATGACTGGCAGTATTTGCATGCACCATTATGAAGATGAGAGTCACTTTGAAACACACACACACACGTCACAGGATGCATTACAACTCTGTGAGCTGCAAGGACTCCATGTCACATGTCAGGAAGGTTAAGTAAGAGTTTTCACTTTTCCTGCCCTAGTCATGATAATGCAAATAGCTAAAATCTGATATCTACATAGACTGCAAAGAAACATAGGTATCCCCACCGCCCAATCTCCGAAATTAAGTCTGACTGAAAGTTTTAGTGTTTTAGGCAATGAAAAGTGGCCCAATTACCAAAATAATGACAAGAGATTCTTATAATTTTATAAACTTTTAGACAAGTTTGGTTGCCCAGCTGACAGTGGGTTAATTCACAACATTTGAGAGAATCTGAGGAACACTTCAAATTCACTACTGTGACATCAGGCAAAAAAAAAAAAAAAGCAAATGAAATCAGACAAAATATTTGCAGTAAAACTGCTGATCTTCTATCAACCTTAGTGACCTTTATAATTCAAGGTCCTTAAAGAAAGCTGGGATAATTTGTCACTGATCCCAGAGACACTACGCCCAGCTGAAGCCGAAGCCAGTGAGAAATTCATTATCTGCAGTGAAATGGTGGACAGCATGGGCTGAAAGGCCTCGAAGCCTCTCCTCCAAAAGCAAACAGCCAAATAAGTGTTTGCAAATCAACGCCGAGAGGAGGGTCTTGATTTTACCAGGCGTCGTCTTCTGCTGCGATGCAACTAAAATTAAACCGTTTGGCAAAAAACAATCAAGGGAAACAACTGCAAGCCCGGGGGCACGGGGTCATTTCACTGCACTTCACACGACTGATGGCGTTACATGGAAAGAACGTTATGCGTAAGTATTAACGCAGCAGCAGTCAGAAAGCTAGTCTGGACACAAATGGTTCTTCCAAGGGGATAACGACCCAAAGAGTGCCGCCAGATTAGTTACAAAGCGGCTTAAGGAAACGGAGACACTGTTTTTTGGAAAGGCCTGATCTCAGTCCCACGCGAAATACTGCTCTTGTGAGAAGAGTTTTGTACGAGCAAAGCGGTCTAACAAATCCGACTCTGTGACACCATTTCCGTCAGGAGGAATGGGCCAAAACTCCAGCAGCAGATGGTGAGGAAAAACCCCAAAAGGTTTGATTCCAGTCATACAGTTTAGAAGAGAATTCAAAGTAGGATGAAGGAATTCTGAATTTGAAGGAAAATGATAAAAAAAAAAAAATTACTCCAGTTTAACCCTAAGTTACCTAAGAAGTGAAATATTTTGTTTAAATGTCAGAGAGTGAGGAACACAATGCAGCAAATATCAGGTTACAGATAGACTCCACAAGCCACTGAGTTTTTCTTTTCTCCTGGAAGAGAAACGAATCCCTGGATCTGGATCCTCAGATGATCCAGTCAGGAAGCAGAAGATATGCTTTGCTTGACAGATTACTTTCCCTTTCCACAATTTCATGCCATGCGAGGTTAACGCAAACTGAAGTGATAAAGAGGAAGACTTGGAGAAGGAGGATTCCCCCTCTCTCTCCTCTCTCACACACACACACACACACACACACACACACACACACACACACACACACACACACACACACACACACACACACACACACACACACACCCCCCCCGC